TGTTAACAAATGACCGCGTAAGTTGAAATGTAGATTTGTTAGACAAATTTGGTGATGTCAAAAGTGATGTAGTATTTATCGAGATTTTCGAAAAAAAACATGTTCCTTAATAAATTCCTAGTGCACGGATAGAATAGTTTTAGGAAATAGATCAGGTGTTTCATTTAATGTTGATTTCACAGAATAAATCCACAAATGTGTTCATGGGGCAAACATGGCTTTATCGTATTAGTACTTTCTCATTATTTTTATAAATTTCTAAATATATTTTTTATCTTTTTTTGAGACATTATCGAACCTTCTCTCAAATCAGCGACCTTCGTGACCTTCTTATACACTTTCATCAAAAATCGCCTTTATCGCGGTCAGCAGGCAACTTTCGTCAGCACAGTCATTTTTCACTTGGTTTTCTCTTTAGTATTTTTTAAACATCTTGTGCCAGGGATGGATTTTTTTCTTATTCTTGAGATAGGTTTCTGCATAACGAACTGATCTTAATCCAGGAATAAGAACAGGTTAGTTAGGTGATTCGGCCGACGATGCAATAGAGAAACAAACCAGATGTAGAGAAGGCATGAATGACAATATCTTCACAATACAAGAGATGTATTTAACCGGTTTCGAATATATCTCCTTCATGTATTTCAGACGAATATATATATATATATATATATATATATATATATATATATATATATATATATATATATTATATACATATATATGAATGTATGTGACACACACACACACACACACACACACACACACACACACCACACACACACACACACACACACACACACACACAACATACATATATATATATATATATATATATATATATATATATATATATGTATATATATATGAAACCGGTTAAATTATATTATAGTACTGTGTAGATATCCATTCTCATTCATACCTTTTCTGTGTTTGTCACAACGAAACGGTTCAGAGTATAGGTTTGGCCTTCCGGACTTGTAAGTCAGTTCTTAGGTAAATCAATTTGATTAGCCATTCATTAATTTTCTAATTTTCTTTTGGTGAAAAGAGCTCCTATATATCAACATTTAGAAATTAATTGATTTTCCTTCGATCGTAAGATGGTGTAATACATATTGAAATTTTAAACTATGTTCATAACCTTTCCAACACGCACGCGACACTTCCTATTAAAAAGGAAATTTAGGGAAAGTTTCTGGTAAACGATAACATCATTTCAGCTTTGTTTTGGTTCTTCCATAAAAGACAACTTCGATATATCATTGAATATTTGCTAAGCCATGAATCTATTCCTTGTAAGCTTCCAAACCAGACATTATCAGAACACATCAATACATTTCTCCCTGTGTTGTGAGAGATAACATTCGTCTCCTCGTCCCTTTCAACACATAAACTAATTTCGTCGTTTCTCCCTTGCCTCTACGGTTCGTTTTTCTCTCTCTTTCTCATTTATATGTTTGTTTATGACTGCTTAAGTTAGCGGTCTCTTATATGTATTCATGCCCGTTACATATGTATACGTATGCATGTGTTTGTATGTATATGTATATGTATATGTACATATAAACGTATATATATGTGTGTGTATCAGTATGTATATATATATATATATATATATATATATATATATATATATATATAATATATATATATACATATATGTATGTATGTATGTATGTATGTATGTGTGTGGGTGTGTTTGTATCTATATACATACATATATACATACATTTGATTATATATATTTATATACATGTGTATATGTGTACACACACACACACACACACACACACACACACACACACACACACACACACACACACACACACACACACACACACACACACACACACACACATACATATATATATATATATATATATATATATATATATATATATATATATATATATATATATATATATATATATATCAGAATGACTCCCTCATGTATGCGCAGACATACGTGCATCCCCGTGCGGGCCCTTAAAAGACGTCTTCTCTGGCTCTTTCCAGTCTGGACGACCTCCTCCGTGCAGGGATCAATTTGGCCGAAAACGTCGTTGTGGTGAACAAGGAACTGAACAACTCTGCCGAGGAAGACACTCTCTCAGATTGTAATACTATTGTTGCCGTCCAGACTATGTTCAAGTAAGTGGGCCGCGGCGGACGTCCTGCGCCTCCAGTGATGATCTTATAGTCGTGTAGCATCTTATTGTTTTGGTTCTCGTGAAGTGGATAGGTTACAGGAGAAAAAAAATGTGGGTGATGCTTAAGGTGGTCACTATTACCCACTTGACTGAATTGATTTGGACGATGTCTGTAATACGAAGTGTAAATAATGATGATATATTTCCACGAGTGATGTCGGTTCTTTCTCTGCAGGTTTTTCCCGAACATCAAGATCATCACAGAACTGTCTCAGTCATCGAACATGCGCTTCATGCAGTTTAGGGCTCGGGATGCATATGCCCTCCACCTGTCTAAGATGGAAAAG